CCAGATGAATCATTCCCAAGCAGTCAGTTTCCCTGGATGTTCACAGCTGAGCCTTGATGACAAGGTGAATTCTGTAAGGGGGATGGCTTAATCATTAGGGAACAAAAAGATTTAAGGTAGATCCAGGATCTTTTTCCAGATATGGCTGTAAACTAGGCTGAAATGCTGCTTCAAAGGGAACGGTGCGAGCCAGCAGGCCACCACAGGTTGATAAGGCCAGATGAGTGAATCATTGGGAGTGGGAGGATCAGTAATTACCCCACCAAAACTATATTTAGTACCTGAGTTATTGGCGGATGTTGGGGTACACCTCTTTGACCAGGAAGCAGATATATTTTTGGCTGATGTTGAGGGAATTGTTAATTATCTTGGAACTAGGCTGGGAGGAGGCAGCCAAGGTATTTGGTGGTGCCTCCTTATGACCGGTATCCAATGCAGGTATTCATTCCATGGAGCGTTCGGTTCCCTGATAAGTTTATTTCCACTTTTAGTTTAAGGGAACGTATCCCCTAGAGAAGCTGGGGGATGGGATTGCTGTTCCAGTCATTAGGAGTCACAAAGATACAACTCCCTTTCCCCAGCCCTTATATGAGGGAGGGCAGTGGGATCTCAACAACGGGCTGGGGACCAGCTGTTGGGGGAGTGGAACAACAACAATCCTCTACTTGGTGGAAATGATGGAGGAAGGAATCATGACTTGCACTATACAAGTTATTGCTGGATGATTCCCAGATGAATTAAGTTACTTAAGATGTGGCCTAATTAAATGGGTCCAAGACAATGTAATTTCCTACAATACAACATAATTCAACAAATGTTGACCCTCTCCTGACAGATTTAGTGTTTGATTGAATTACATCTCACTTTTCCAAAAGGGTGATCTCTCCACATCAAGGATTACTTGACTGTCAAGATTACAATATGTGGGAGTTGACATTGTGGATTCATTACAGATTTATTCTAGTTCTCACATGGTAACTTCACTTGGTTGTCCTTTGGGTGCCCCAAGCTTCACAAATAAAATGAACCTTAAAAGGAATGTTGTCATTGTAAAGCTTATACACATACAATTTTTTTTAAAGATTTCTTTTCATGTGGGTGTAAAGTCGCCATTCTTTGAACTGGTTAGATATAGACACAAATTTAATTAGTGAGCACCTATTCTTTAGCTGAGGCACCCTTGAAACTGCAAGACACAGAGAAAAGCCAGGGGAGTTAGGACTGAGTTGCAATTCAGCAATTCAGGTAGACAGCTTAATAAGTTGTTAGTGGAGTAGAAAAAGTCCATCGGATTAAATTTAATAAACAAAAGAAGAAAGGTTACTTATCTTACAGTAACTGGAGTTCTTCAAGATGTGTGATTCCCTACTTGCATTCCACTGCGGGGGTGCACACGCACTCCATGCACCTAAGACTGGATATTTTTTTACTAGCAGCACCTGTTGGCCCATGCTGGTGTCCTGTGCCTCCTTGGCACCAAACTGAGAGCATAAGGAGAGGCACCAAACTGAGAGCATCAACTGCCTCTCTAGTTCCTTCTCTTGCACAAATCACCTTAGGAAAAGATCTGAAGCAAAGCAAAAGGAGAGTGGGTTATGGAACCACACATCTCAAAGAATTCCATTTACTGAAGAGAAGTAACCTTTCATTTTTCTTTGAGTAATGGTCCACTGCAGGTGACTCCCAAACAGTATTCATCCAGGTGGAGGGTGCGAGGAACAATGCTACACCACAGACTGCAGGACTGCTGTAGAAGTCCATGTCCACAGAAGAGGCCTGTATACCAGTGTAAAGTCTAGTAAAGGTATGCACAGAGCCCACAGTGCTGCTCCATAGATCTCCAGGAGGGGAACACCCTGAAGAGAAGTTTGGCCGAGTGGACCCTCACACTTTGAGATGAAGAGCCTGCATGAGTTTATAGCAAAGGAGGACACAGTCTGAAATCCATTTAGAAAGTCTTTGTGAGGAGATTGCTTCCTCTTCATCCATTCAGTGATGGAAACAAAGTCTTGGAGACTGAAGGGTCATGTCCTTTGCAGGTAGAAAGCTAAGATTCGACAGACATGCAGAGAATGGTAGTGTGAGGTTAGGCTAGAAAACAGGCAGGTGTTTGACATGAGCTATGTGGAATTGGGAGGGAACCTTCTGAATGAACTTGGGGTATAACATCAAAGAAACCTTATCCTTACGAAAGGCCGGGAAGGGAGGGTCCACCATAAGGGCCCTTGGCTCACCCATTCTTCCAGCAGAGATGATAGTACTCAGGAAGGCCACTAAGGAATCCTAGTGAAGATGTGGACACTAAGGGGCTCTGTCTCAGACCACGTGTGGTAGAAAGGACTTAGAGAGGTGGTCTGTGCCTTCCCTTATGTCCTCAGTTCAGAGCATGAGGCACCAAAACTGCAAATAAAATTTTTCTGGTCTTAGGTGCATGTGCACCCCCACAGTGATATACACATAGGGACCATCGTTCAAAGAACTAAAAGCTAAAACTTAGTACATAATCACAGAGTACAAAGCCCACATTAAGTATGGACCTAGACTAGAACACCAATAGCAAATTAATCAGGTAGGGAGGGCTAGCCCCTGCACAATGCAAAAAAGTACTGCTATTTGCCTTATGGCTAAATGGTACATGTACACACTTGATAGAAGCAGTTTGTGGCTCCCAGGGTCCAAGCTGGGACAGACGCTTAAAGCCAGAGTTGCTGAAATAGTGTAGCAGAGAGAGAGATGAGATTATTTAGTGTGGCAGATATAGGGATACTATAGAGAAGGCCCACCTCAGAATTGGTGGTTCTGAACCTACAGTTAAGGGAGCTAGTCTCATGATAGGAAGAAGCAAAGATGCAATAGAGGTAATTCCCTTAGCTGGGTTCCACCTAACTGAACCAAAGAAGTCTGATCATTCCTTAAAGCACAGGAAGGGGATCAATTAAGCCAAGAGCTTAACAATGTTAAAAAAAAAAAAGGATTAGAAATATATATGATAGTGAAAGCATCCACAGGTATATAAGATAATTAGCATCACAGCAATGCACTAGTAATGAAAACCAAAAAGAGTGACACAGGAAGGATATGTTTTTCATTAAAATCTAAGAGACCATGAAGACATTTCTATTAGGATTCAATTCCATATTTATGTTTTGTACTTTGTTACCTGTCCTTTTGGGAACAGAGCATATGCAGAATTACTTGAATTAATTAAGTTTTGACTACATAAGGAGTACAAGCACAGGATAGTGACAGAGTATAAAAAGGGGGGAAATCACTCTCCTCAATATTAAGAATTACATCTGATTGGAGAATAAATATTGTAAATTGATAAATTAGTCTAATTTTACATGTTTTCCTAATGTCATATAAATGTTGAGGAATCATTTAAGGACCATTCCCAATTCACTATTCCCAAAGTGGAAGTTAATAAAAAGACTAGGAGCTGAATTAAACCCTAAAATCAATGGGACTTAAGTATGTTCTTAAATACTTTACTGAACTGGGGCTTGCATTCTGCAGTCAGCACCAAGTTTTTACTCATGCTCCCACTTACAAAAAGTTTAATGCCTGCAGGATTTTATTTTAGTCCTACTTTAAAAAAAAAACATGGGATCAACCAAAACTTTTGAGTGATAGACAAAAAGCATGTACCACAGGCCATAATAGATGAGTTGCATAACATTTAAAACTATGCTGAAAAAGAGACTTTTTATTTTGATTCTTTGCATTTGGTAAAAAAATCATTTTTAAGTGGTAATTTTACTGCTCTGACACATTAACACATTAATTTTACTGTTCTGAACCCTGTCCTCTTGTTGAAATTATTCTAAAATACAGCATCCCCAGTACATCAAGATGTTAATGCAAGGGAGAAATATTCATGCTTTTTATTATTTCAACCATTTAATATTTGGAATGCTTTTAGAATTAAAAATTTTTTTAAATATCACACTCAGTCAATAGCAACCATCATTAAATAAAAGTCTCTGTGTTGGAATTGTCTTTATATTTAGTTCTATAAAGTTCCAGTCACGCTTCAAAACAGGTTTATTTTAGAGCAGAAACAGAATAATAAAAGTGACAAATCTACAAGCTGTTCTCTGTGGCGTACATAAAATGCAAGTTGATAGCTGACTAAATCTTTTAAAAAAATTACTATACAGGCATTACTCAGATGAACCATTTTTCTATAACCATTTTTTGTATTTTTCATCCTTCAGATTTATATTATTAGAGAGAGAGAATTGCTAGTAGAAATGTTTATAATTAAGGTCTATATTCTTATATTCTCTTCATCTCTGGTTCTGAAATATATTTGTGATAACTATATATGACATTCTTTGAAATCCTCATGAAAATAATCAAAAAGAAAAATTTAAATGACATCCTAATTTATATGAAAAAAGTGAGGGGGGGGTTTCCAAATAAGGAAATGTAGCTATTTCTTCAAATAGACCTATGGAAACCTGCTGGATTCAAATCTATCCTTAGCTCATAAATAGTAATAAAGTGGTAACCTGTAATAGATATTTATCCACATTGTAAAGTTGACACAAAATCTGATACAAGTCTGGAAATGTCCACTAGTCACTTATTTGCAGTTGGACAGCTAGGTAAATCCCACTTAAACTATTCCATGTCTTACCAATTCGGTAATGTATCTTCCCCGTCCCCTATACATTTTTGTGGTTTACATTTCGCATTTGCTAAATATATTATGAAAGGTTATTTGCCTTGGTTTGCATTTTTAAGACACTTCTGCGGCTCCTCTGCCATACACAAACTTTCACAAACAAATCCCGAGGCCCAGCACTAGGCATCAAAGATGATGCCAGCAAGGTTTGAAGAACATTGGCAAAGGTGTGAGGGGAAGTTCTCACAGGAAGCACTATTCTTCGCTCTAGCCAATGTTTTTAGATATTCACTTTTATCACCATCAAATTCACATCACAAAAGTTAATTATGTCTTTTGCTAACTATTTTTCATATCCATTTTTCCCCAGATACCTTTATCTATGAATGTGTCAACATTTCTCGCCTATGACCAACCCACAATAAGTTACTGTGGTGTACATCATGAACTCCTTGCTCATAAGCCCTATGAATCTAATGCACAGGAAGAAACAATGGAAACACACCTAGAGACTGATCTGGATCTCAGCACAATAACAACAGCCGCAAGAATCAGTGAACACAGTCAGCAGCTAGCTTAACTGATTTCATTTGTAACAGAGGACTGCAACCAACCTATGTAACTGGAAGGACAAAAGAGGAAGATATTCTGAAATGGTTTCTGAAACCCCTGTTCAATTAAAAGAGAACTAAGAGTTACACTGAAGACATGAATTGTTTCAAGTCTACAATTTGTAATTAGCTAAGTTGTGCAGTATTTTTGACATAAAGCAGAGTATGACCCTTGAAGCAAATCTTTTTTCAAAACTCATCCTACCTACCTGTAAAAACTGTACAGATCTAATGTATTTTTCATATTGTAAAGTTTCAATTACTGAGAACAGCTGGTATGTACAGTACCAGAACTGAATTACATCTCACTTTACAAATTTCAGTTTCTAAAGTTTTAAATTAACAAAAATTATTTCTTGTGTTATTCAGTTACTCAGTTTTGTAGGGACAGTTTTGTTACTGCTTTTGTGCCCAGAAAACTTTACTCTAAAATTCTGTGCTGTGCAGAACATGCAAAATTTTTACCATGCTTACCATGTAGAATTTTATCTACTTGTACCAGAAATAATACATTAACTAAAAGAAGGGTTTAATTGTTCAAACTTGTAAGAAGTTCTTCAATTACATAGATAAGTTTTTCTTATAAATGAAAAAAAAAAAATCACAGAATTTTTAACAGTTCTTCTCAGACTTAACTGTTGCCTTGAATTAACAGCCTGTGAAAGTTAATTCTAAAGCAGTGAAATGTAACGATAAAGAGGGATATTTTAACAACACATTTCTGAATGACTCATTATTTTATTCCTTTGTATAGTACTGTATTAAAGAAAAAATGAACCATGGATAAAACAACACTGGAGACAAAGGCAGTAACCACAGCAACGAGGTTTCATACACTTACAAGATGCAGCGGTTAACTGACAAGGATACAGTTTTGTTAAGTTTCATTATACTGCAGGATAAAATGGGTGGGTAGCCATAACAGTCAGCTGTCTCTTTACAAGATTTGCACTGAAAGTAATCATCCACCGCCTCAGATGCATCTGATTTTTATTTTAAGATTTCATTCTACATATTAGGATTCATTTTCAAAACTGTCTTGAGGATCACACACACACACACACACACACACACACAATCAGAACTTTTCCTCTTGCCTCCCACATAAGATTTTGAAAAAACTGTCAGAAGTTGACAAGCAGTTTATTAGGGCCAAAACCTACTGCCATTGAAGTCAATTACCATTGACCTCAGTGGGAGCAGGCCCTCCATTATTTGTCCTTTCTGCGCAGAGCTATACTACTCTTAGCATTTTCTAATGGTTACAGTTACAAAAAAAAACTCAAAAGCAGAAAACATCCACTTTGTTCAAAAGATAAAATAATTTGGAACAAAAGGTAACGATAAATAGCCCTTCAATGTTCTGATAGATCAAGTTAAGAAAAAAACTTGAAATACAAAAAAAATCAAATCTATAATAATTCTATGAGCCCATAATATGTCTACCATTTAATCTATGGATTGAAGAATTCTTACATCTCATTCTTCAGTTTTAAAGTTTCAAGGCTTCTATAATCACTGTCCTGAGACAGCATTTCTTACAATACACTCACGTGGTAATCATGAAAGATTACATAGATTAGAAAAATCATATGCCATGCTGACTTGGTGAAAAATAGAAAAGGAACGCAAGAGCCTTCCAAGGGTTAAAACAAAAAAGAGTTTCGTACAGTAGTAGCAACTTTTTAAGAAATAAAGAGAAATTATATAACCACAAATCTATTTTTGGATGTTTCTCCCAACATATTTTAGTGTGGCATCACAAAATAAGATTTAAATTTAATGCAGTTCAATTGTTTGTACAAAAGTATAAAGCAACTATTATAGGAAAAATACCTTTAGAATATTGTATACAACGGACTCTACATTCACTATTTTTTATGACAAATGTCAAAATAGAGTACATTGTATCAGTAATTTATTTAGCACCTCAGATTTTGTAACATTTTGCATAAATTATTTGGTATTCAAAACATTTTATTTGTCATGTTTAAGACTCATCTTAACCTTCATATTTTTTCAGTTTCTAATTTCTTTACTGCATTGACCTGGTGAGTTCCTGGATTTCTGATCATCATTCTCTATTTTGGAATTTTACTATGCAGAGTTTGAAAATATATATTCAGCTAATTATAAAAGGGCACAAAACACTTAGCTGCAGGCCTGAAATATTAAAATTATATTTGTGTGGGAACAAATTACTTCCCATTACTTCAGCGTTGTGGCTTTAGGTTTCACATCCAGCTTTGCTCTGATGAATATGGATGGTTTAACTGGTTGGGGTAAAATGAGAACTGATCTTTTGGGGGGAATGGATGTTCAGTTACTAAATCCCTCTTACTCTTACTGTTACCTTCCATGACCATTGTGACCACCTCTGGCCCATTTCCCCTTGAACTTTTATGGAACAAATGTGGGGCTCAGACTTGCTGACACTCTTTTGAAATTGCTGTATGTTCAGAGATGTGATGTGCTTCTGACTCTCAGAGTATGAGACAATATGAAAAGAAAACGTGGAAGAGCCTATCACACACGTAGGGTCTGTATATGTGAAAATTTAGTTCATAACAAATTGGGGTGTGAATCTACCCAGAACTAGTCTACTGAACTCTAATTGTCTGTGTGGACCTTGTTGATGCACATTAACAGTTAGTTAATGCACTTTGATAAGCTTTTAGACCAGATGATCTCTTAGCAATAAGGAATGGGACAGCTGATTTTCCTATGCCAAGAATGGGGAAAACATATGAATGGAATAAGCTAAGATCAGAAAATATTTTGGGCCCTTTTATCTTCTGCCCTCAGGAATGGAATCGTGATCCACTATTTCTGCAGTTCAACAGATAATCCTCCTAATTTGAATGTGATGTTAGGACAGGGGTATGAGTAGATAAATTATTTAAAGGGCTGGTGCAAAACCAGATCCAATAGCAGCAGTAATTTCTACAACACTTGGCAACCCACCCCAACAGTACAAGGCTAGTAGCCTAACAGCTGGTATTTCAGCACCAGGAGCTACAACAATGGATGTTACCATTGTTGACCCAGCTAGCAATCCCAAGGTCAGTGTGCCCTATAACTTCTCGCTTAGCATGCTGGTGCTAGAGATTCCTGGTAACCTTCCAGAAGGTATCAACAACTCCTCAATGGCCTGAGAAGCTCTGCTAAAAACAACATGATGGTAAAAATTCAACAAAACCAAAACACTTAGACCTGATCCAAAGCCCAATGGAGACAATGGGCGTCTTTCCCTTAACTTCAATATGCTTTGTGTCAGGCCTTTATATAGGTGTAATTACATCAATAATTATGTTGAATATAATTTATATTTATATAACTCTGCCACATACAAATTAAAAGGAATTATACCGTTATGTTTAGTTCCCTTCTAGAGAAGCAGAAACAACTGTATTCATCATATGTGAAAGAGGATATTGGTCATTTGAAATATGTGCCACGTGAGGGCAAAAAAGATTATGCCAGTTCTTAAAAACGCAAGTAACAAGATAAAATTATTAAAGTAAACCTGAGTATGAGGGGGAAAAGACACAAAAACCTTTAAGAAAAAAAAACATTGAAGGTACCTGAAAATCCCTACTGAAAGGGATTTATAACATTGGAAAATGGTGACATTTCTACCCTTTTCCTAATACACATGCAATCTCATACAACCTTACTCTCTTCCAGGGCCGGGGCTGGCTTTTTGGCCGCCCCAAGAAAAAAAAAACAAAAAACAAAAGCCTGCCGCGCGGGCCCCACCCCCGCCGGCGGGGCGGGAAGGAAGAGGGCTGCCCTGCAGGGCGCTCTGGTTCTCCGCGCCACCGCCCCCTACAGGGCGGCCGGAGCGGAACAAAACAAAACAAACAAAAAAAAGCGGCCGTGCCGCCCTAGGATTGGGCAGAATGCCGCCTCGAACAATCTGCCGCTCCAAGCACCAGCTTGCTCAGCTGGTGCCTGGAGCCGGCCCTGCTCTCTTCTTGGTATTTACTTTAATTGTTAGGTACACCAACAACAAAACAAACCTCAGCCTAAGAATTCTGTTGAGCTTAACTGTTCTGACATTTGTTTCTTGCAGGACCTCTCTTGTCTTGACCCCTGGTCCTGTCTGCCTGAGAGAGGCTGAAACCCTTTATTCTTCTTGGGTAAAAGCTAATTGGACTCTCAGGTGATCTGACAACGTAAATCAACAAAAATAATTTTGCACCTCTGTGCAGGGTTCTGGTATTATGTAACTCAGAAGAGCAGCCCCAGTATTCCTAAAACCTGCTACCTTGTTACAAAAGTCAATGTACATTTTCTAAAACCAGTAAGACATTCAAAGCCTAGGGGCCACAGTATAGTAATCCAGGAAGCAGTAGGAATTCAGGAACTACTACTGCATTCAAAGGGTGATAAATATATTGAATACATTAACAAGGAAAGCGACTGGCTCAGTGTAAAGGAGTCCAAAATATATCTAGGCTGTTTGAGAAGGGGACTAGTAAGTCTAACAAAAAACCAGGATGGTCACATTATGATACACTTTGAAGACACAAGCGTGAGACTGGACAGCTTTCCCAGTTCTTAAAACTTCCTACTTTATGTACGTGTACAATATGTATTTCAGTACATTTAACCACACGTTTCAGCAGTGTACAACAAATGTAACACTTCATATAAAATGGACTGTACAGCACCTTAGATGGCTAAATGTATTATTACGTACTTACCAACAATTTCCCCATACTTCCTGGTATAGTAGGTTGGGAGGGAGGAAAGCGTTATTTGGCATGTTTCGCAGTTGTGTGCCAGGTCTCATTGCAATAATTCCCACTAGGTCTTCTGTTCACCAGAGAGAGAAAATGCTGCCTCTGGACATGTCAATAATCAGAACCACTTTTACAACTTTTCCAAGGCACATAAGAAATACCCAGAGGATGCCAGTTCATTGGAAAAGTAACCTAAGCAAATTTAGTTATCTCAAGAATTAAAAACTTGAGGGAGGCATCTCTCATGCATTGGGACTTGTTGCACAGGCTCATGACTGTGTTGATAATGAATGCCAAAGAGAGAAAACAGATTTTATAGATTAACAGCTCTTCAGCTCAAGCCATAGCACTGTAGAATTTAGTGCCCCTTTAAATACT